GGCGACGAAGGAGGAGGAAGAGGGAGGGGAGGAGGCGCGAGCGGGGCTCGAGGAGGAGCAGCCCGCGCCTACCGTACTGTGTGGAGTAGCCGCCCGTCCGCCCACCCACCAGCCACCAGGCGCTTGGGCTTCAGCGAGCGCAGCCTCGAAACCTCTCACTTCCTCAGTCACACATTCATTCCCTCGTTTACTTCCTCATTCGCTTACCGTCCCATTCCATCCCCTCTTCGTCTGATTTCCTCATTATTCCATGCATTTTCCCCATCATTTATTTTTATCCATCTATCCACCCACTCACGCGCCTATGCATACATCCAATTAGGCAGGGACATCCCTGTCCTGTTTGCCCAGTGCAGAGCCTGGCACTGAGTGGATATCTGTCGGATAAAACACTTCAGATCCATGTAGTCTAAAGAAATTATAGAATGAATTTTGAAGTCTGGATTTGAAATCTGACTCTACTGCTTATTGGCTCGGGGACCATGAGCAAGTTGCACCGCTTTCTTGAGCCTTAATTTCCTTACATGCAAAATGAGCATGATAATACTGCTTTCCACAGAGGCATTTTGTGGGCATTAAACAATGCATTCAAAGAAACTAGCACAGTGCCTGGCTCACAATAGGCGCCCAATAAAAGCTCTGTGAGAATTAGTACAATAAAATGTAGTTTATCATATATATATAAATGCAAATGTTATTTTCTTTCTGACATAGATTTGAGATAGAGTAATAACTTCACAACCCAGTGTAGCAAAGGATTCTTGTGAGACTTTAACAGCCACAATCACCAGATCAAGGTTCCAGAATTTCCCAAATATTCTTCCACAGCATCCCCAGTCACCAATCTGAAGCATTAGGACACATCCTCTTATTATTCACCATGAGCAGACAGCCAGTGTTCTATTAACTCCCTTTTCAGCATGGCCACAGAACAATGAACACAAGTATGACAATGTCTCTTAGTTTCTACAAGATTCCATGTTGCCTTACAAATCATCTAAAATTCAGTTATATTCTGAGTCATTCTCATATTAGCATTATTTTTTAACTCTTTGAGAACCATTGTATTTAAAGTTCTAGGAATGAGAATATTTAAATACCCGGAATCTCTTGCCCAGCGGGCACCTATGAGATGGCAGGGTGCAGGGTCAAAGTGTGGGTGGCAGATGTTGCAGGTAAGCCAGCACAAACAAGCCACTGGGTCTCAACAAGGGTAGAGTTCCATCCCACTAGGAAACATCTGGAACTGTGGGAAGGATGTTTTGGGTTATCTGTCACAATGACTGGCAGGTTCTACTGGCCTGTGCTAAACCTTCTGCAATGCTCAGGAAACTCCAGCATGACACAGAATTGTCCTGGAGCAATTGCCAACATGGGGGACCCATTGAGAAACACTGGGCTAGGCTAAGGCCTGGTGTTTAGACCTTTCAGGTTTAAAAATGGCTACTTATTATGTGGGTATGTGGCCCGGTGAAGCAAGAATTCCCAAACTCTGTCTTGCCATCTCCCCTTTTCTCAAGGAGACATATGCAACAAGGATAAAATAAGGCAAAGTAACACTTGATTGTTAGCTGGGGGTTTGGCTTCAAATACCAAAGTAGAACTTGGGACAGCTAGGCTTGACCAAACAGAGGACTTCATTTTCTTAAACTCCGCTGAAGCAAGAGGAAAGGCCACATTTATTTCCTTCCCCTGAGTCCAAACCCAAGCTTTGGATTTTATTGCTATGATTGGTGGAAAAATACAACCTCTAATATCATGGAAAAGGCATTCCAGATAGCATATCTATGGCTTACCCAAATTTCTCACTTGGATATCTAATACACAAAATGCCTATTTATTTGTCCCCCGACCTCTATTTCTTCCCCTGGAATTTTGACACTCTACTCAGTTGCTCATGCCAGAAATTCGCTAGGAATTATCCTTGGTTTCTGTTTCCATCACCTCCTGTATTAGTTATTTATTGTTGCATAACAAACTACTCCCAAAATTTGGTGGTTTATGATAATATACATATAATCTCCTCATTTTTGTGGGTCAAGAATCTAGCACAGCTTAACTGGGTCCTCTGCTTCATAGGCTCTCACAAGGCTGCAATCAAAGTGTTGGCCCAGGTCTGTGGTCTCATCTGAAGGCTCAGCTGGGAAAGGAGCCATTTCTACGCTCACTCACCTGGTTGTTGGAAGGTTCCAGTATCTTTCAGGTCATTGGACTGAGGATTTCTATTCCTTGCTGTCTTTTGGCTAGTGGCAGCCCTCCCTTCCTTGCCAAGGTGGCCCTCTCTATCAGGGTAAGCACATAAGAAGAGGCAGAGAGAAAATGCAGCAACACAGAAGTCATAGTCTTTTATAATCTAATTTCAGATGTGACATCCTGTCACTTTCTCATGTTCTACTTGTTAGAAGCAAGTCATTAAATCTAGTCCACACTCAAGGGGAGAGGATTACACAAGGGCTTGAATACCAGGAGGCCAGGATTATTGGGAACCATTTTAGAAGGCTGCCTCCCTCACCTCCCATATTCAGAGAATCAGCAAGTTCTGTCAAATCTACTTCCAAAACATGATTCGCATCAGTCCAGGCATGTTCTGAATTGCCAGTAGGGGTTGCTTGACAAGGCCAAACTTTGCTCAATTCCAAAAGGCCTCATTCCCATTGTATTCCATGTAAATGGAATCCCCACCGAGTTGTATGATGTGGCTGTTCTATGGTCTAGAAAGAATAGCAATTACCTTCTAATCAATCTCCTTGCTTCTTCCCATGCCTTCTTCCAATCTTTAATCCAGAATGATTTTTAAAAAAACATAAATTGAGGGGCCGGCCCGGTGGCTTAGAGGTTAAGTTCAAGCATTCCGCTTCAGTGGCCCGGGGTTCACCGGTTCCAATCCTGGGCGCAGATCTACTCACTGCTCATCAAGCCATGCTGAGGCGGCGTCCCACATAAAAGAGCTACAACTCTACAACTGTGATACACAAGTACGTACTGGGGCTTTGGGGAGAAAAAAGAAAAAGAGGAAGATTGGCAACAGATGTTAGCGCAGGGCCAATCTTCCTCAAAAACAAAAACAAGAACATAAATTGAATCCTATTTCTCCCCTGCTTAAAACTTGTCAATGGTTCTTCATGGCTCTTTAAACAAGTCTGAACTCCTTACCGTGGCCTCAAAATCCTGTATGACCTGGTCCCTGACTGTGACTACAACGGCACCAATTCTGGGGCTCATTCCAGCCCCACTGGCCTCCCATCAGGGCCTCTACCATTCCTGACTCTTACTTGCCTCAGTGACTTTGTACCTGTGCTTCCTTGTGCCTGATCCCAGGCTCTGGAAGATACTTCAAGATTTAGATCTCAAATTAAAGCCATCTCCTTAGAAAGGTCTTTTTGGCCACCGCTTTTAAGGAGCTATTGCTCCTCGCGTTATTCTCTATTATTTGCCCATTTTGTTTCCTGCACAAAACTTACTACAAGTTGTATGTGTGGATATACATATATAATAAACATACATATATGTGCACACGTAGATACATGAATAGATATATACATTCATATATATGTCTATATATTTTTAATTGGAATTACCTACAGATAGTAAAGTATACAATTCTCAAGTATATAGCTTAATATACCACAAAGATCCAGATATAAAACATTTCTAACGTTTCAGAAGATTTGCTATGCCCTCTCCCACTGGTTATATTCAAGAGCAATAACTACTCTAATTTCTATAATCATAGATTAATTTTCCCCGCTCTTTGAAACTTTATATAAATAGAACCATACATTTGTACTCCCATTCAACATTTTGTCTGTGAGATTAATTCATGTTTTTCTATGTTATCAGTAGGTTTGTTTGTATATTTGTTTGTGTTTTTGCTGGGTAATGTTCTATTATATGAATATACCATTGTTTATTATTTGTTTATCCATTTTACTATTGAGGATAGTTAGGTCACTTCCAGCTATTATGAACATTCTGTACAAATCTTTTGCGAGACGTAAGCACTCATCTCTTTGGTATATGTCTAAAAGTGGAATTTCTGGGTCATATGTTTGGCATATGTTTAGTTTTAGGTGCTGCCAAACAGTTTTTGAAAATTGTTGAACCAATTTACACTCCCGCCAGCGGTTAATAAGCACTCCAGTTTAATTCACATCCACCTATACTTGATCTTGCGTGTGAATTTAATTTTGGCCATCTGGTGGGTGTGTAGGAGAATCTCGTTATGGTTTGAATTCTCATTTCCCCTGATCACATTTTATATATTTATTGATGATTTGGGTATCTTCTTTTGTGAAATGCCTCTTTAGGTCTTTTGGCCATTTGAGGGGCAGAGTGTCTGTCTTTTTCTTATCGATTTGTGGGAATTCTTTATAAATGATCAAAATGAGTCTTTTGTCAGATATACGTTTTGCAAAGAACTTCTCTCAATCTGTGGCTTATCTTTTCACTCCTTTAATGATACCTTTTGATGAACAGAAGGTCTTAATTTAGTGAAGTCCAACTTATCAATCTTTTCTTTTATGGTTAGTATATTTGGTATTTTGTCTAAGAAATCTTTCCCTACCTCTTGGTCACAAAGAAATTCTTCTGTTTTCTTCTAGAATAGAAGTATGA